TGTTTCTACAGTAGCCCAGACTGGACAAACAAAACACTGGCTCTAGATAGGGCCTTTTGCATTTCACAGACATAGTAGTTTCTTTCTCCCACTTGGTTGACGAGTCAAGGGGTTTCCATCAGTTGCAATCTACAACTTCACCACTAGATGCCACTAAATCCTAAACACTGGTCCTTTAAGGGGCTTTCCGGGCTGCTTGCTGTAGATTTTTCCACAGTGCACACTTCAGTATCAGTAAGGATCCTGTTAGGACAGGGCTGTAGCAGAATGCACACATCAATAGTTGCAGCAGAAACGAAGGTGTGCAGTTCGCACACAGACCATACTGAAGCCATTAGTCCCCTCCACTAATTGTGCCAAAGTATTGGTGTCAGTCTTCTGAACCCTAACTGAAAACTTGCTACACCAACGCATTTAGCCTCCCAACTGTCCTCACTGTGTTCTCTGCCTGACACAGTGGATACACAGGAGGCCAATTGACTCGGGCACAAGACAAACACTTCATATCAGCAGACTCAGCTGTTGGTTTTGCATACATGTCACATAGCTGTCACTTACTTGTGACCAAGTGACACACAAGTGACAGGCACAGATGTATACAGACAGTATTACTCATATTGCAAAAGTTATTAGACAGAGAACTCTGCTCTGAGCAGACAACTTTGTGTTGGAGAAAGGTTGTAGTGATGCAGATTCATTTTGCTGGTATTGCTTATATCTATGAGAATCAGTGGTGACCAACAATGATAAGGTAAAACATATTAAAACACATTAACAGCTAAAAACCTGCATCATTATTAATTCTCTTAGGTGAAAGAATTCTTTTCAGATGCAATTTTCTAATTCAGGACACATCTTAGCCCCAGAAGAATAACATCGTAGCAGAAGCACAGCTGGAGTCTTTTTGTTGGACAGAAAACATCAATCTAGTCTTATTCATTCCCATTCATTATACATGAACCCATGCACTTACGTTGTTAGCAGGGTTGTGCTCAGGGTTTTATCTCGACAGCTAATATGGATTAATTCCTCAGTTGGAATTGCAGCTTCCTCTTCCCACCAAGCTTTCCTTCCACATGTACATCTGCAAATTTCCACTGTGATAAATCATCAAGCAAAGCATCTGCTAGAGAAGCCTGCTTCTTTTCTCTCGTTCACTACGGCAGCTATCACATCCAACCGGTTTCCTGTGACTCCTGGCCACTAACAACACAGCATGCCTCTGCGCTGTCAACACGAAACTAAGAAAGGTCTTCAGGCCACATCACAGCGTTAGTACACAACTCCAAGCGTGATTTTCTTTCTGATTAGGGACCCTAATCCTTAGGGTGGAATATCAGGGTGACGTTCAGGGATTCTGATGGTTGAATCTTGTAATTTGCAATGAGCGATACGTCAGATTCCCATGAACAAGACTGAGCACAGAACTTCAGGAGAGAACTCAACCACAAGACAATATTGTAAGAAATATCTAATCACCAAGCCTAAAGTGCTGTTGCTAAGCCACAAAAGACAAGGCAATTTGTATTCTCATAGGTTTGTCCATGTCCGTGATGATATTGTTGTACTCACTAACCAAGTAACTGCGGGAATCTTGGAACACATCAACATTACTAAAAAAAGTCTGATGTGGCAAGAAACAGGAGAGGTCAGACACCATTAGTCAAACTTATTTTGAAGGGACAATGAAGGGAAACGGTAAAATTATCACCCACACTGTCTGTTAATAAAATGCAACACAGTTTACAGACCTACTTCCTACTTCAACTTTGATCTAAGAAACCTCAATAGCCAAACATTTTGAATTTATAATGGATCCTGAAAAGTTCAGTGACTTCAAACGTAGCACTGTCATAGGATACCGTACTAGATCTGCCCCTACTGTAAGTACTATTATTGTGAAGTGGAAGCACCTAGGAGCAACAACAGTTCAGCAACGAAGTGGTAGACCACACAAATTGAGTGGGGCCGACGAGTGCTGAAGTGCTTAAAAATCTCTCATCTGTAGCATCACTCAGTAGGTGTGTGTAGGAGTTCCAAAACTGCCTCTGGTAGCAACATCAGCACAACAACATCAACACCTGCACCGAGCCCTGGCGTTTCAGATGACACCAGCCTAATTGTTTTGGCACGTCTGGCTCAGTGGCACTATCCATGGTACTTCATTCATGTTATATTAGCACTTAAAGGTCCAGTGTGTGGGATTTAGTAGATTGCAACTTGCTGAACATTGCTTGCATCTGTATTTGACAACCTGGGAATGAGAACAGGCAGTGAAGTGTGTCAGAGAAATTATGGTGGCTGTGAAACTTCACTGTGCAAGACCCTATCTAGAGCCAGTGTTTGGTTTGTCCATTCTGGGGTACAGTAGAAACATGGAAGTTTAACATGGTTCAACCCCGTGTAAGTCTGACCTTTAACCTTTTGTTCTGTTGTGTATGATCACATCCTTTATATGTCAGCATGAGGAAAGTACATGTGGCAATATTGCGCTACTTGATGAATTACATGTTTAAACATTGATTCAAATATTCCTGCAAATTCAGTGGTTAACTACAATTGAAGTTTAACTCTCTTATTAAGGTTCATAATTATGCTAAAAATCTTACTTTAACAGCTGCAAGAAATAGCCTAACAGGCATCACAGTCTACATTAGTGATGCAAACCTCATGTACACATAAATCATCCATCCACCACCAACCCCAACAAATTTTCTCTGACCCGCAATCAGTTTTTTTAAATGTTTCCATCGGTGCAGGAAAGTCACTGCAGCAAATATTGTTAATATTTAAGCAGCAAAAGTAAAAACTGCAGCCAAGCTATAAGCCTACTTGACAGAGGAATCTCTGATGGAGCTCAGGATTCAGCAGGAGAACTGTTTCACTTCAAACTATTTCTCGGTATGAACATGACTGTGTGTGACCTTCTTGGATATGTAGAAAAACACAGAACTATTTTTAATTAATCAAAATTAGATCCTCACCGATCCTGTCTGCGTGTTGGGAGATTTAAATAATCAATGTAGACCCTGCTGTGCCTATATATACATATATGCACACAGATTCTCTTAATGGTAAGAACCATCTGCGACCCATAATAAGTGAAAAAGTATTATTTTAATTCTGATTAAAACTTGGACAATTGGGACTGGGACAACTGGGAGTGAATGTTTTTTTAAATTTATTTTTCCAACTATTTCTCAGTACTCTGGGACACACAGCTTAAAAAACAGAGACAATTCTGGACAAACCGCAATGGGTCACTGTACATTACAAGCATGTTAGCATGCCGATGTTAGTATTGTGTGTTGTATTCAGTGATTTAAGTAAATAAAAGCCTATGGCTATAATTAGAAGTTTTACGGTACCTTACGGTACCTACCTACTAACTGATGTTGATCAGAGTAGAATTTAGAAGTGGGTATACCCAGAGCTGACTGAAAAATAAGTGGGTAAACTCCATATACCTGCATGTTCCTTGCACTACGCCACTCAAGGCCTTTTCCACCAACAGGGAACCGGCTCTGTTTTGGTTCACACACCTAGTTTTTCAACCAAAATTTATTTGGGTTCAGAACCTGTTGTAACAAACAAAAAGCAGGATTTCCTTGGGAACAAAAGTGGCTGTGTCATATTCTATATCCAATACTATGGTTTCTGTTAAAACTGGTGGAAACGCAGGCTGGTTCACTAGAGAGCACCAAGGTTCCAGGAAGGGTAGATAGATACCAGTAGAGTTTCTGTTTTCAGCAATTTACACCTACTTACTTTTTCTCTATACTCCACCCACTCTGCTTCTCTACTGAACACAGTTCTAAATCAACAAAAACGCAGTCTTCCTCTCTGGCTTCCCCCGCAGTAAATCACATCAGATGGGCGTGTACAGGCTAATATGTGTGTCACCCTGGCTTTCCGTCAAAAGGAAAATGCCTGGAGGAGTTGCTCTCTGACTCCCCAGACACGCAGTGAAAATCAGATGAAATTAAGCTCTAAATGAGCCTGTTTTCATGCAGAAAATGAAGAGACATATTTTAGGTTTATGTAGGTAAAAGAGCAAAATATTTTAGGTGTAATTAATTACTACATGATTCATAGAACACACTGGACATTTCCAACTGAAGTCATGTTCTATTTATATTAAATATTAATATAATTATATATTAAATTACTTAGTGTCTGGAAACACTTTTTTAAAATGCAGAGGGGTTAAAAGTTAGGTTCAGTTTTTCCACTCTGCTACTGTTTCTAGGTTCCACTGTGTTATTGTGAGTCAGTGTCTTAATTGAACATCTGAGAGATATAAATACTCCTGGTGCACATATGGGAAAATCATACATGACACACTGTAGATAATTTGGATTAAATTACATCCAAAACAATAACACTGCTAAAAAGCGCTCAACTTTACTTTTTTATAGTTGCACAATAAGCTGGACAAAGATTTGTTATGCTTAATTATGGAAATGTATTTTTAATTGTATCAAATTGGGTGTCATGAGGTTAGCTGCTACAAAAACAGCATTTGGAGTCAGTGCAGCTTCATCTTTGAGCAGAGTTGATAGTGAGGGTACAGACTGAAGGCCATCTACGAACTGTATATTTAATGTACAGTGTTCTACCATATAGTTTTGGATGGATGTAATAAGTCTAAGCTGGTTGTTCCCCTTAGGTTGCTTATTTCTCCCAGCAGGTTTAACTGGGATCATCCTTCAGTCAGTATTCCACTGACTGACTAATGTCTGATGCTTTTATTTGCTTTTTGGGAGAACTGGACTGATGTTTGAGTTGACACTACTAGGAACTATCATGTATGGTAAAAGTTTCCATATACATTGTCTGTATGTCATATTAGACCATATTAGAGTTGAACGGTTCTATTTCAATTTCTGTTCTTGTTAGCTGTGTGTATTTTATATTACTTGTCTTTTTGCAATCTACTTTCTTTCCTCCTGCCTCATTTGTTTTTGTGATTTATGTGACTTGGCTGCTGTGACACTGCAATTTCCTTTTGGGATTAACAAGCTATTCTGTCTTTCTATCTATATATGTTTTGTTAAGATGCTCCTCTTTTTTTCCTCATTATTTTTCACATCTTATGCAGGAAACCTTCACCTTCATCCTGCTGCAGCATTTGTGAGTGCAGCTAGTTACTAATAAGCTTATTTAACTATTATTGATTGATTTTAACAGTTGTTGGGTGACTGTTCATGAACTTGTCACTGCAAACAAAGGAAGGCTCAAAGGGGAACTTGGTAACTTTTTCAGCTTAATAAACCC